CAGTACATAATATGTTTTAATCGTTTAATTGAACGATGGTTGACCAAATGACGCCTTTGAACAAAGATTTCCCACATCGTCAATTTGTTAAAAGCATAAGTAAAGGGTTATATGTATTAGTAACAATTATTATAAAAATAAATATAATTGCTATTTTTATGCCTTATTTTCAACCGAAGGTATAACAAGAAGTTTATTCTTATTTAAGTTTAAAAAACAATAAAACTTATTATTTTCAATGCTATTAAAAAGTCGAATAAAATATCAAGCTTCTAGCAATGCAAAGCCCACTTCCCATTAGTAGATAATAGAATGAAGATCTACTTTTTCAGGACAATTTTACGACGACTATCAATAAAATTGATACATTTTAAAGATTTTCTTCCTCAAATTCCTTAATACTTTTACTGAGCTTTTAGCTCAGGAGTTTGTGGATGCTGTTATTAGTATTTTCTTTTGACACAAACTACTGAACCTATATTGATAAAACTTCATAATAACATACGTCATACTTCAGAATAACTTGTATAGTAAAATTACATACCGAAATCCATGTATTTCCCGCGGGAACACAACGTGAATGTCGTACTTTTAATTCAGTCACGCAGCACATATAAGATGCATACTATTTCGTCTCTCTTAAATATTTTCTAACGATCCAAACGAACTAAATCGCAGTTAAAAGTTAATAAAAAAACTGTTCTTTAAGTCTAAATATTAAATTATCCCACCACACGCTCGTGAAGTTCACATCTACATAAAATGAAACTATATTATCCACCCGACTTTACTCGAGATTTCTGTTTTATATCTTTAACAATATTAATACGTACTAAGTTAATTATCGTTCATATCAGACCCTCGTTCGTTACAACATAATAATCTTCGATCGTGTAAATATAAACAAAACATAATTTATATCAAACACTGACTGTATATGTACATTCTATTTTCGAGATCTTCATAATAAATTTAAATATACTAATAACATTATCTGATTTCTCTCGACTATTTAAAAATTTTAATATTTATAAGAATTTAAGCATATCCTTTGATTATACATAATGTTCAATTAAAATGCATTTGTTTATGATTGCCATCATTACGATATACTATCACATTGAAGGAAAATAGTTAAATTAGCATATAAGAGAGATATTAAAAATCTATAATATTTAACTTTAAAGATTTTTCTTATGTTATTATTACTGTAAACTTATATATAGCAAAAATAACTTAAACTTCAAAAGTAAAAGTAAGTATTAAATTTCAAAAGTAACAAAGTTAAGTAAAAAAATAACTTCATAAGTCAAACTTTAAAACCGATATTTGTAATGCTGCATATTCTTTAAGAAAAGAGGTAGAAATTTTTTCAGACAAAATTTTACCTAATAATGGTATGAAAATCATATATTTTTCTTTTATTTATCTTCGAGTATTCGTTTTGTCTGAGAGCTATCGAGCACTATGATCTTTTATGAAACGTGTTTGTTGCGTCTTGGGAAATTGACAAACGTATTTGGCTCTTTCATTGTGGCGTCAATTTAAACTCTTGAATATATATGGCCTCGTTACATTTGTTCTCAATATATTCAAACTCTCCGTGACCGCTGACTCCGCCCGCGTTTACCGAGGTCAAATTTTGTCTATCAATTTTACGACGTAGTAACTTAGTTTCAATTGAAGTTCATATAAAAAATTACAGTATTTCATTTATATAAAATAAAACATAGATACAAAGATAAAAAAAAATATGTATACAGGGTGACTGGTGAATTACTATCAATACTTGAGGACGTGATATTTGACGATCATATATGACAAAATAAAAATTTATATAACATAAATATTAATAAACTTCTAAGTAAAGTTAACCAAAAGTTGTGTAATTAATTACGCATCGTGTGAACACCCTACAGATTAGGTATACACACACACACACACACTCGCGCGCTTCGGCGTGGTGTTGTATCAGCACGCCGCCGCGCGCGTCCACACTTGGAACACTTGAAACGAGTCCACACTTTATTTATTTATACGGAAATTTGGTCAAAAATTAAGTGCCTATTTTTTTTACATAATTCGAATGAGAATCATGTACCGAGTATGCTCCTTAAATATTGATAGTAATTCACCAGTCACCCTGTATAGAATTTTTAACATACGAATACTTAGACATTCACATCTCGTCTGCCTGTGATCACGGTCGCTGAAAAGTAACCGAAACCTCGAGAGTATGTAGTATTTTACAAAAATAAAGCACGCGTAGTATATCCGAAAAATATTAGTTTCATTTAAATGAATACAAATACTTAGATCTCCCTAAGTGGAAATTAAAGTTCTAAATGAAACGTCAAACCAAATAAATTAAATTACATTACATTACTTAGAATAATGAATTTAATATGGCGGCATTTAAAACTTGTGATTGCTAATGAACGGAAGTTTGAGACGCGATTTTACTGCAACTTTGATGAAGAATTCCTGTTGGTTTTTCTTGTAAGTCGTCATTCGTACTGGGATCTTGAAATATTTTGCTAATGCCAATATTTTTAGTTGTTAGACGAATTATAATCTTGAGTAATATGTGGAGGATATACGAAGTAGTTTGTTTCCAGTTCACTTATACAGGGTGACTGGTGAATTACTATCGATATTTGAGGACGTGATATTTGACGATCATATATGACAAAATAAAAATTAATATAACATAAATATTAATAAACTTCTTAGTAAAGTTAACCAAAAGTTATGTAATTAATTACGCATCGTATGAACACCCTACAGATTAGGTATACACACACACTCACACAGACGCGGCGGCGGCGTAGTGTTGTATCAGCACGCCGCCGTCCACACTTCCACACGTCCACACTTGGAACGTGTACACACTTTATTTATTTATACGGAAATTTGGTCAAAAATTAAGTACCTATTTTTTTTACATAATTCGAATGAGAATCATGTACTGAGTATGCTCCTTAAATATTGATAGTAATTCACCAGTCACCCTGTATATTATTGATAATACGAATTTATATATGGCACAATTATGATTTGTAATTTTTACACTTGAAATTTATATAGATACGTATGTTTCCTTACGCAAAACAAACAATCAACTTAAACTGTTTAGTCGTTTCCATTATGTAGAAGGAGTGACATACAGACATCCTTATATAACATTAATACTTTATAATAATTAATCATATTATCAGAAACTTTTTGTTTAATAGAACATAATATAAAACTTTGCAAAAGAATAACTTAAACTCAATATATAATTTATAATAAAATAATTAAAATAATTCATTAATTAATAAGTCCTACAATAAATTAGAGCATTAAGATTCATCCAGACATTTCAGAATCAATACACGACTTAGTAACGTATGCGAAGTCTCGTCTAGAGATATAAAAGCAATTACTACAGACGCAGTCAGAACGCTTTAACGATAATCAAACAAAGGCAGCTTAACACAAGGAGGCACACATACAATTAACACAAATAGGATATGAAATGGTCTTTCATAATGCTAACAAAAGTTAATTAAAATATCCCTAATTACGTGTAGCCGGCGACGAGCTGAAAGCAAACTCTGCCCCACGTTGGGCGCCAAAGCGTTCCACAATGTTTGTGCTTTATTAGAACAAGTTTCTGAACCCCTGTTTGCATACAAGTTTGGGACGCTTCCGTTTTATTTACCCTCGGTTCGTGCTCAAACTTCTACGGCCCCATTAAATTCGTACGGGATACGTCCCGTTGAACTAGCTTGTAACAATTAAAACGTGTATAGGTGACATGAAACAAATATACTATCTAACCTAACCTAACAATTTACATAACCTAACAATTTACATCCCAGATAAAAAACGATCAACAATCAGAGGAATAGAAACAAGTTATTACTTGGACGGAATAGCATTCGGACGTGACCGGCCGGGTCGATAGGGGGTTCAGTACAAAAAAATAACATCAACCACCGCTCCTACGGAATGCCAATCTGAATATGGAAATGGGGAACGACCGGATTCAATGCGGCCAGATAAGAATTTTATAGCGAAAATCTACAACACTCCGAGTTAACAGTGCGAAAATATGTATATTTGGTTACACTACCCGGTATGTGAGTAAAGAACGAATGAACGAAACGATGAACGAATGAAACTCAATAAACACGAAGATTTTAATATATCCCTTTGTTGTTTAAAGAAATGACGTAATCTGTGGCCAGAAATAATATGCCAACAAATAAATTATTCATTTATGTTAATACAGCAGACTCGGCATCGACGTTTAAAATTTTCTTAGCATTTTCTCAAATACGAATTTGTAAAGTTACTTTGTAATATAATTGTAAGGAAACGTTGTTTTCGTTGAGAATATACGTACCTATAATATGATTATTAAATTCAATGTTAGCAACATAAACAATCTTTATTTTATGCACAGTTGGAGATGCGATAAAAGAGTGTTTTAAAAATAAATTTAAAAGCTTTATTATTACCTTAAACAATGAACCAAACCATTTATGTAATGTAAATAAAACAAAGTTGCCCTAGTTAGATATTTAGACGATTAAATTGTTAACAACTTATGTATATACGTTTACCACAAGTTTTTCGTTAAACTAAATACGGTCTTTTATGAGTTTTTAAAGAAAGACTTCATATATAAGGGTATAGATGTAAGAGCGGGGAGACGAAATCATTCCATGGATTACCGTGTGGGTGTCGGGTCCATCGTTGTAGTGAGAGGAGCTTCAACAGTGACTGGGACTTGCGACCCAGGTGTAGGTTTAAAGGGGCCTCTATCTAACGCGCGTTAAACGCATACATGTAATACTAAAAGTAGCTTGTATTTGACAAGTCGAATTTTTAATGACGACTTGTGACAATTTTTACACGTATCTCATAATACCTAGTCATTCCTATATTGCATTGAGAGGTTCCATTAGAAAACACCAAAACTTTAATTTAAAATTCGACAGCGACAATATTCATTTACCTACATACATATATAATAAATTAAATTGTATTTTTTTTTTTGTAATTTAAATTTAATTATACGCATATGAAAGTATATACGAAAGTTTAATTGAATTAATTGTCACTATTGAATTTATTGGCTAATCTTTGAAACTGTTAAACCAATTTTGATTAAGTTTCAATTCCAGGTAAATATTTTCATAAAAAAAATAACTTAGACCATTTTTTTTACTTACTTTAAAAAAGGAGGAGTTCTCGATTCGACTATGTACACATACATTTTTAATGCATAATTAGACTGATTTTCAGAATACATTTTTTAATTTAAATAGTAGTCCCAATATAATTAAGCCATGATCTGATACAGGGATCTTCGAGGAATCGAAAAATACCTCATAAAGATGATGATGCATCTCAAAAATTATTTTATTATCCGAGCAAAGCTGGGAGAATCAGTATACATATAATTCACTGATTATGTTCCATTAATCTAGCCTAACTCAAGTGTTGTGATAATTCAGAACTAGCGTGACAGATGTTACATTATATTTCGCGGCTAAATAAGTGATATGGAGGTAGAATATATGTGTAAGAAACTATATCAAATGGTCCACTATTTCATTGTTTGAGATGAGTGCCCACTGCTGAGCAAAGACCTCTTCACATTGAGAAGATAAGAGCATTAATCACCACGTTAGATCAAAACGGGTTGGTGATTTCAAACTTATAATTTGTACTTATAATTCTCGCTTTCCTCACGATGTTTTCCTTCATCTATGTAAATGGTGTCTAAATTCTCTTAAGAGTGTACTCTGACTATGACTAGAGGTGGTAGAGCCTAGCTGTGGTCAGTTAGTACCACCCTCTCACAGAAAATCACATTTTCCCCAAACATGGGCGGCAACACATCTGCATATCTACGTTGCAGATGTCAAGGGGCGACGGTAACTACCTATTTCCCATAAAAAAAATAACTCGGAAAAAATCACATTGATACTTACCAGGTTTCGAACCCGCACCCTCATGCACATGAGGCGGACTTTAACCTCCAGGCACGAAGAAATATATTAATTAAGCACAAAAATAAATTCATTTAAGTAAGCCAGAGGACATACCCAAATATATGTGAGTTATATTGTAAAGGCCTTAATAGATAAGCCTCATATTAAATTTAGGATCCGATAACATTTAACGACATCGCCTAATCAACATGCTTTACGGACCATAATAACCTGTAATTCATAACGTAACCGATTCAGACTATCCAATTAATTAAAAACCATTTTATCAGGACATATAACAGTATCCAATACCATCTAATACGACGGTTTAGATCTAATAACTTACGGATACGATAACAATGTTGTAACTTACGGATACGGAACCAGCTATATATAAAATATATTAGAATATTTGTACTCACCGTGTACAGTTAGCTCCGAATCTCTGTTCAGCTCGTAAAGCCTCAGCGCCTCGTCAAGTTCCAGTTGAGTGGAAATGGTGCAAGGGTCACCTTCCTCGTCCACCCATTTCATGGTGAAAACCTTCACAATACAAGACAACTTAATTACAAAGTCTTCATAGAAACATCACATCAATGACGTCATAATACGTCATCATATGCCAGTGTTTCCCAAAGTGGGGGATAACACGTCTTTGTGGGAACTGTAGGATTAGAAGGAACAAGAAACCCAGAAAAAATTTGAGTAATTGATTTGTAATTTCATTTGTAGTTATAGTGGTTTTTCAGCTGGTGTAAAATGGAGGTGCTTATTATTCTCAAAGTGGGCAGAGGACAAAATAACTTCAGGAAACCCTGAAATAAGCAAAGCTCAAGTACATTTCGAATATAGTTATTATAGAATATAATGGTCTATTATTATTTTTCATTTTAGTGAGTAACTAATATAAGAGCGGAAATACTAACGGTATGTGGACTATTGTATTATACGACCCTATAAATTAGTAAAACGCAAACAAATAGATATTTCTTTATGAATTAACACATAAAATTACAGCCATTCTTATTAGGAATGAGCTTTGAAATGAAGACTGCGAGTGACGTAACGCCATCTAGGTTTAGTTGCAATAATCACTTCTAAGTATTCTATTAAGCTAAAAAACTTATGCATAAATCTATTATATATAGGTACATTATTTATTTATACTAAATCATCCAACTATTCTTCAAATATAATTTTGTTATTTAAATTCTTAATAGTAATTATGTTATGACAACTTAAGAATTGAAAAAGAATGTTGTACTGTAGTTGAAAAGAGAAAGTTGTAGTTCTTAACACAACCTTATATAAAATATAGTCAATAATTGAGAAAATATTTGCTTTAATACAAAATTAAGAACAGCGCCATCTGTTATGTAATATCAACAGTATTTAAAATATTCAGAGTATATTGGACCCAATGTGTGTTATTCACAAAATTTTCCTCTCTGTGGTAGAATTTGTTATAAACAGAGGGTTTTTGTTATTGTGCAAAACATTTGGTACTTTTTGCTGTAATATTCAACGGAGCATGACATGAGAGCAATGACCTTTGCAAACATGGGAAACAAATTTTTGGAAGATAATTATTACTCATTCTATGAATTACATTAGTCTAAACTAAGATTAAAACATAAAGATTGTTTTAATACAAGAATATATACAGTGTATTTTACACTCCAAAATGTATGCATATTGAAAATATTTTTTAACAGGTTACACAGAATGTATATAGCATTTTTAAATAAAAATATATATATATTACTTTGCACACAAATTGTTGAAGTTTTATCAGCAATTTTGTGCAAAAAGCAAAACATTCTCTTAATTATTACTATTTTATAACTAAGTATGCAAGCTGGATAGTATTTAAATCCTTAAACTTTAAAAATAAAAAAAAGCAAGGCTCTGTTGGACAAATTAAAAAATAATCATAGTCGAAACAAAATTCATATTAACATAATATTATAAAGCTTATTACATATTAATTCTATAAACAAAATACACAATGCTTCCCATATAAATACACATATAATTACACAAAAAAGCTCAAATTGTTCTCATTTTTGTTTTATTATATATTGTACTCATATTATTAGGACTATGACTATTCAGGCAGACCCTGGCTAAAGCTGGGAAATTGCCAGGTAGAAGAAAATTATTAGAACTATGTATACCTGGTCGGGTGGAAATCTGCATATTGCCATCATCTCATGTGTAAACTCTTGTAGCGAGATGTTGTGGTTGATGTAAGTAATGAACACATCGCCGCTGTAAACAGTCTTAACTCGGACATCATTTGCATTATCCTGACCCACTAGTTGCGTCGGCATCATTACACGATCTTTGTCAACTGAAAAAAAAAAAATTATAGTTAAACTTCATGGTAAGTTGAATTAAGTAGTGCTACAATAAAATGTAACATATTTTTTCGTTTAATATTACACATTATTGATAGTAAACATATTAAAAAAGTTAAAATTAAATAACAAAAGTTTTTTATTATGTTCTTATTAGGGTTTCGTTAACTATAAGTCGTAATTTACATATTGATATATATATTAAAGTTCAGCCTTTATATTTTGTTTACTTTATGAATGAACTGAAAGTTGTAAATTAGGATCAACCTTATTTATCAACTGTAAGGTTTCATCTTATGGTTTCTTTGCATGTATAACCTATTAACAGACAAATAAAAACATCATAAAACTAAAACACTGATCATTGTTTGGACCTAGCGGAATGTAGTTATGTGGTTTACTTCCCGTTTCGGCACATATTATAATCACTAAGGTGCTATAACACACCGAACATTCCCATATCATGAATCATTGCCGTTAACACAAACAAAACTTACAATATAAAACACTTTATTTATTAGAATGTTGAGTTATTATATTACGATTAAACTTTCATTTAATATAAATATAGTTAGAAGACCATACAATACCTATTTCTTTCAAAAGTACTATCAACAAAAGTTTGACACCATAACATTGGATTTACAAACTGACATACAGAAGGATATGGAAATTATCTTAACAATACGACCAACATACTGACTGTATTAAATATATAAGGAAATAGATGTTAATGTGTAACTTACTCTTTCCTATGGAACCAGATTCTAAGCATATAAATGAGACAGATATAGCTATCTTCTTACAGAATTAAAATTAGTTAAAATCTTTGATAAGAACCCCAAGTGACGTCGTGGTTTTACGTTCATAAATATTACGATTTTAAAAAATATTAACGATGAAAATTGAAGTTATATATTTTTATATATTTAATTTAATAAAGTTGACATTTTAAAACTAAAGCTATTCATTATTTTCAAAAGTTATTGTAGAAATCCTATTTGTTGTAATATATGTTTTACTTCACTATTTGTAACTACAGTAAAATAATGCATGCCAGTGATTTTTAAACTGAAGCGGAAATGTCATCCTGAATTCTTTAACAAACTTCATTGCATTAGCAATAGTATTTTATTTGCTTACTAAAGTATATTCGTATAATTTAACATTTATTTTGAATTCAGAAAAGAATTAACGATTTTGTGTTTCGTTTAGACAATGGTAAAGTATTCCTTTTTATGAATACGTTTTCAGAACTTGAAATACATGTTATGATGACTAATACTCGTACTACTTAATATAACTTAATAGCTGCTGTCTTAATTGCAGACAGAGCAACAAATGGATTGTGCATTGGATTTGATGAGGAGGCTGCCTCCTCAGCAGATTGAGAAGAATTTAACCGATTTAATTGATCTAGTTCCAAGTTTGTGTGAAGATTTGTTATCGTCGGTTGACCAGCCCTTGAAGATCGCTCAGGACCGAAGTAACGGGAAAGATTATCTCCTGTGCGATTACAACCGTGATGGAGACTCATATAGGTCGCCATGGTCAAATACTTACGACCCGCCTCTCGAGGATGGTTCAATGCCATCAGAGAGATTGAGGAAATTGGAAATAGAGGCCAACCATGCCTTCGACCAGTACAGGGAAATGTATTTCGAGGGTGGCGTCAGTTCTGTCTATCTGTGGGATATGGATCATGGTTTTGCAGGTTTCTGTAGTTTTACTTCTATATATTGAAATGATCTCATTTTTCATCTTATTATAATTTTCAATATATAAGCACCTGTTACTTGCTGTATATGCTATGTAACCCTTTGTAATAGAAAAAAAATCTTTATACGTAGCAATTACCAAAGTATATGCTTATATAGAATTGCTTAATAAAAATATCCGATTGAGACCTTACACATTTTTTATTATAAATTGTGTGACAATGCAATCTCCACTCAGTCACTTAGAATTTTGGCCGAACTCATAATCTGTACTGTAATCCTAAGAGAATAGTTAACTATATTGAAGTGAATTACTACAGTGGTTTAAAATTCAGTTGATCATATTATTAGTTGGATTTAGTGGATATTTTCCATTGCTTTCTAGAAGTGGTAACTTAAATTGTGAAATTTTTTGGTTTTATTATGGTTTTTGCACATATAAAGGTATGCTTAAATTCATATGAAAGCTTTGACCTCAAATCAAATAGCTGATCCAACATAAAGTTCTAGATTTTCAGTATAAGACACACTTAAGTTTTTTCAAAAGTCCCGTCACTACAACTGCAGACAAAATACTGGTTGTGTATCATACACATCAGCTCACAAAAATCCTTTTATAGTGTTAAATACCTAATAAAAGCACTTTCTAATCCTTGTTAATATATGTATAGCAATTTCAAATCTTGATAGATGATATTGTCAGTAGAAAAAATGTAAAGCAACTTTAAAACTAGAAAGCTACAACCAATAGTATAAACAAGTTCTACTTTGATTTGACTTTAAACAATCTTGCCAAGGATTTTGTTATACCGGTTTATACTTTAGAGGATTTGAAGAAATATCTAACAAGAATTTGTTTGTGGAGTCATTTTCATAGAGTTTATTTAATATGAATATAATGGTACAATTAAGATAATATCAATTTACCACAAAGCTTTGACTTTTGAAACACTACTTTGTTTTGCTAGAGAGACTAACAAATTTTGTGATCTAGGGACTACCGGAAATAATGTTTCATGTTATAAGGAAAAGAAAATATGTATTATTCAAATGTACAGACTATACATATAACAAGTGTTTCATATTTTTGTGGGGAAAATGCTTTTAAAAACATGTCTAAGGTGAATTCATACCAAAATTGTGATAAATATGTAATGTCACATAAAATAAATTTCATTCTTTACAAACTTTGCCATTTCAGATATGAGTTAATTTCAGTTTATGTGTAATAAATATATTAACATTTAAAGTAATGAAAAAATTTTAATGTGAAATAGTTGAAATATTCTTAAACACTTATAAACTTAAGGCTATCTAAGACTTAAAGGAGTGAACTAAAACTAATATTTTCGGATTTACTACACGTTTTTTATTATTTTAAACTACATACTCCCGACGTTTCATCTCGTCTTCTCGCGATCAAGGTTGCTGCAAAGTAACTGAAACGTTAGAAGTATGTAGTTGAAAATAAAAAAAAATACGCAGTGCAAATCAAAATCTGAAAATATAAGTTTTTTTACCTCATTAACTTACCTTATCACAAGTTTCAATTAAACTAAATACAGGGCATTTTTAGTTTATAATTTTTAGTATCAATATAATGTGTATATTTTGTTGATATATGAATAAAAAAAAAATCATGAATTCAATTTGGCAATTCCAACTTATTTTAAGGGTACCTACATACTAATTCATGGTTGACTCTGCTCTAGGTTGATTATTTTATTGAATATTAATACTTACTTTCCATATATCAGGGCATAAAAGACAGTTCTATAAGGAATTTATGTAAATATTTTATAAATCCAATGCTTTTGTTTATGTAAGTTACTACAAAATGACTTATTAAATGATTACCTAAAATTTACATCCAAACATAAGGTCTATTACTGCCTTTTTTAAATTCTGCTGTTGTAGTTTTTTATGGTATATAATTAGTAATAAAATTTTTGTAAAGAAAAGTAATTACAGTATTTAATAGTATTACATCTGGCAATTAGACAACGAATCGATTAACATTTTTATTTAATTTCATACAGATTATCAATGAAATATTTAAATGCTTATAATTTCTAACAGGTGTGATTCTAATTAAGAAAGCAGGAGATGGTTCCCAGAAGATCAAGGGATGCTGGGACTCCATCCATGTGGTTGAAGTGGTTGAGAAGAGCTCTGGCCGGAATGCACACTACAAGCTCACTTCAACGGCCATGCTATGGCTTCAGACAAACAAAGAAGGCAGTGGGACTATGAATTTAGGCGGCAGTCTTACAAGACAGGTATGTATGTCATTGTTTCCCAAACTTGTTTTTTCTACTGCCCCCACTTTGAGAATAAATTGGTTTTTTTTTCACCTACTGATAAAACACTAACTTATTTTACCTACATGAAATGTCATGTTGTGTAGGCACAAGATTTCCATTTTTGTCTGGGTTCTTTATCATCCACTTTGGGAATGGCTGGTTTTGTTGTTCAAAAAATAAAACAATAGTCTCCATATACAAAACAAAAACGAGTTTTAATACAACAACGTTCTTGTTATTATTGCTATGAATACTAGTAAAATAATAATAAATTAAACTCTTCTACTTAAATTTATTTAACAAAATCATCTAAGGTTAATATAAAAAAAATTCCTATATAAAATATAAATTCTATATATTAATTATATGTTAATTATCCTTCTATAACTTCAGGCAGAGCAAGATTCGGCAGTGAGTGATGTAACACCACACATCGCCAACATCGGCCGTATGGTCGAGGATATGGAAAATAAGATCAGAAACACTCTTAATGATATATATTTTGGTAATTATTAACTCTTATTATACAGACAATACTTGAAAAATATTTGTTCACATTAAATCCATGAAAATATGTTAGCACTAGCTTTCCGCCCGCCACTTCGCCCGCGTGGAGTTCGGTTATATTGCATTTCTAAGAGAACCTTTCAAAAGTCTGGGATAAAAACTATCCTATGTTCTTTCTCAAGGTCAACTTTTTCTCTGTACTAAATTTCATTAAAATCAGTTGAGTGGTTTGGGCGTGAAAGCGTAACAGACAGACAGACAGAATCATTTTCGCATTTATAATATTAGTAGGGATTATGTATGACTTATGAGTATAACTTGAGGTGGCATTGATTTTCCCAATTATTTTCATGAGTTAAATATCTTAAACAAAAGCAGTCTAAGTTATACATTATTGTATCAGCTACCTGTCAGCGAAAGTGTCTTCAAAATCGGCTTCCGTTTCATAATTAAAGAATAATAACGAGACAGACAGACAATAATTTTATTTTGACAGTTTTTTTGTTATTAATATGGCTCTAAAGTGGCATTAAAATTGTTTTGATAGGTTATGTTAATATTAAATATACATAAAACAAATCCCAAACTATTCTTGTTTAGAGGTTTCTATGTATTTCGAATAAGGAAATTAACCAAATTATATTTGCTGGTTGTTCTACAATTTTGATTAAGGAAAAAGTATCACATAAGTTTATATTATATTCTTATCTAGTCCTAGCTGGGAGGATTACTCATGATTCTATTTTATTAAATTTTCAGGTAAAACAAAGGACATCGTAAACGGTTTACGATCGACCATACCAGCTAACGTGGCTCGACAAAAGGCCGCCCTACAACACGACCTCGCTGAGGTGTTGTTGCAACGCCGGCAGGTGGCGCGCGACTGAAACACAGGTCACTGGCACTTTATATATATACTAGCTGCGCCCCGCGGTGCGGATTTCCGGGATGTAAAGTAGCCTATGTGTTATTCCTGGACATCAACTTTCTGTATACAAAATTTTATCAATATCGGTTCAGCCGTTTGAGCGTGTAGAAGTAACAAACATACACACACACTCACAAACTTTCGCAATTATAATATTAGTAAGATATATACATGTACATATATGTTATGGGCCAAGTGATTAATGCAGGCAGTATTCATAATTCCCGGGCATTATTCATAGTGCCGGGAATTATAAATAATGCCCGATTAATCACTTACCTCATAATATATACAGAAATAACATTCAACACGAAATATACAGCATGAATAGTTAAAAAATATTAAACATTAAAAATTCTTTTACTTGGTATAGATTAAAATAATCATTAATCAAAGTTTAAAAAAAGATATTAAATAAAATGTTATATGTACTATCATAATTAAAATAAAGTCAATAGAGTTATTGATCAATTATATTAAATAAAAAGGTTATTGCATTTTTTATTACTGTGTTCATTCACAATCATTTTAGAATCATAATACAATAGAAAAAATATTTACTTATATATTAATTAGAAATTAAACGTGTATGTACTACAATGGTTACAATAATACTAGTGTCCATGAAACATTAATATAATTAAAAACATGTTTTTTTTAATATTAAAATATCTGTATTTGTGTCCCAAAAAGGTTTTAAATACAAAACAAGATGTACATAGTAAAGTGAAACCCGAAATTAATTTGCCGTTACTGCTGTAGAAAACTAAATGAAAATTGATTTTTAAAGAGTTAATCGGCAAATACCGATCTATTACAATCGGTATCAATAAAGAGGTCATATTGTTATTTAAAGTACGTTCTTAATGCCGGCAATTTTTGTATTTCTATGATAAAGTCCTTAATTCTAACCAAAACAACTAATGAACACAAATATTAATTTATTTTTAATTATGCAATATTTGTATACACTAAACAATATTTAAATTATACTATCGGTATGAAAAGCTGACAGTCATTTCAAATAACGTTAGCAAAGATTAAGATTAAGTGAATAAGTAGTTTTTTCTTTTCATGCAATATGATTTTTTTAAAGTTATTAATTTATTTTTATAAATTACAATATTCATACAAGTATTATTATTACTATTTAAATTATGAAGTTCTAAGAAACATTAAAAAAATGAATGATATAGGTATAAATGTTTTCAAGTCTTTTATTAATGTGATCAGGAAAATGTGGGTTCTTTTGTAATGATTTTTATGAATATGCTTGCTGTTCATTTATATGTATTTTAATCTGTTCTTAAGTTCTGTCACTTGAACACTATGTTAGTGTCAAATTTTGTTGAAAAATATGTATTGACATTGATGTTTCCTTTTGTTTCAGATGTATCCGAGATTTTGGGTTAAATAACAACAACGACATAGAAATTCAAAAGTTATATTAAAAGTATAATGTTATGTGACATTTCATAGTAAAAATTGTATAAAATACGCATCCGTCATGGTGCTTTGAAATGTCCGCGTTGTTTTAGAACGTATTTGAATTTAAGCATAATTTAAATATTCACGTAATTATTTTAGCCCAAAATAATGTAACACATTTATTTGATTGCATTTTTATTGCTTAGTGATGTTTTTTTTTTATTTTATTGTAAATTAGTTTTATTGAATTTTAGGTATTTTCTAACAGTATAGAATCAGTGTATGTTTAATATGAATTGCATGTTAAGTGGTAAGCCAATTGTTGATGTTGCAATATGTACTAAAAAATTTTATCCGTAATGATTCAATAGTTTTGAATTGGCCTCTCTAAATAAAGATTTATTTATCTGAAATCTGTGATTTATTGATATTCTCAAATTAGCATTAATTTAATTTTCATACACACACTTCCTGTTTCATATCTTATTCCGTTGAACGTGGGAGAATGTTATCGAAGCCAGGACCTTCGTTACCCTGACGCATTCGGTAGACTTTATAATTCTTATTGTTACAAGTGGCGCCATCCTTTCCGGACTAATTATAATATATTATAACAATTATTTTTACGACTTACTATAATTAATTATAATACTTAAGCATTGTAATTTTGTAATGGCACCATTTAAATATCAACTTATATTTAAAAACTATAAATAAAATGTTAACCAAACCAATGTTAATGAAACCAAAAAAAAAGACATTACGCTGAACAAAAAAATTCAAAACTGGAACTGTACTTCGAACATAATAGACGATACTACACCTGAATCCAGGTTATAGTTAAACTGTTACGACACGAATAATGTTTCGTGTATTTAGGAGAGAAGTTAATGGCTTCTCGCAAAATAAACTCAGTCATAAGTCGGCAGATGAAACAATCGTAAGTTATAGCCAACAACATTTGTCATGTAGTAAAATACCACATTATGCTTTACTTTCTACGATACGGGGCGCCATAACGGAAAGCATTTTTCATTTCCGTCAAATTTATTTTGTTTTTTACATTCTTTTCTTTAAGTATAAGGTGGAAATACACTTGTAACTTCAGATATTTTTCTAAGTTATTGATCATCAGATGATAAAAAGGATATTCACTTGATAATTACCCTCGTTGTTATAGTTTACCACGAATTACGACTAAATATTTATACATAAAAAATTGTCTAAGTATGTAACCGAATTGAAAATTGAGTTAAACACGACCATAGACAAAAATCGTGTGACATTGAAACCCCTTGCTTTAAGGTGGGAAATAAAAAGAAGGTCCAATGAAAAGTTCAATAAAATATTATATCTGTATTTAACGAACTATGTGGTCTTTGGTTTCAATAAAAAAGCTAATAAATCCGAATGTCAAAATTGTTCTTTTTTTTCAATAATCATTCTTTCCTAAAAGTATGTTCAAAAAAGCACCACCTTAGAATTTACTGAATGGACACAGTATAGACTTGGAAAAACAGTAAAATGATATGAGTTGGGATAAACATCATACGTCTTAAGTTTGAGAAAATCTAATTAGCCTCAACAAACGTTGAAGGAGTTTAAACATTAAATTCTTAAGTCATAGCCCGTCTCTAATTGGTGGTTAGTTTTTTAAATACTATCTGTACTTACTACTTGTACTGTGCTTACTACTACTTACTACTTAGGTTTAATATTTTGTGTTATTTTGCACATTTTTTTAACAACAAAATAGGACATGACAGTATGTCCAAAAAGACAAAATATTTTTAAAATAAAATTAATGAATTATAATTTTTGATCTTTTTCAATACTTGCCAATGTTATCCTGAATATGACGTTAGTCGTTATAGATTTTGTAAAAATAATAACTTTAAATTTCTTAAATAAAAAATCTTTTATTTTTTTGTAGAACCGTTATATTATCTCAACCTTATTTCCTATCACTGTCAAAAAACAGTCAACTGTAGTCATTCAAAACAAGAAACATGTAGGTGCTTGAAAACAATGTGATAAAGTTAACTTGTTATAATATTGTATTTTATAAAATTATGGTTTTTTAAATGATAACACCTATTTGAAAATTACGTAAATATGAGTATAGTTTCTGTAAATGTGAATTCGTCGGACACTGAAGATGATTGTGTAAATATATTTAAAAGTTTATTAACGATTTATGAACTTATAAAAGCTTGAAATATTTCTATTTTTTTTTTGTATGATAGGTGTTGGAGTCCGTTACTTACGTGGATCACAAGTGCCTTGATAGACATAATTTTGAATATGTTTACAAAGAAAATAGTTTGTTTGCAAAATTTATTGAAAAATGTTACGATGTTGAAAACTCCCGGGGCATGTCCAAAGTTATCAATAAAATCTTGTTGAAGCGCTACAATGAATCAAATCCAACTTATAAAAAATCAGCACATTTTAGGGAATTAATAGAAAAGTCAATTAATCTCATTGAAAGTGAACCGAAAAATAAATATACTCATATAAGACGCATCTGTGATACTCTGCGTTCTTATGCTATTAAGAAAAGGATTAAGCCTATAACATTATCAACTAATATTGGTGGTATAGTATTTCTAAACTTTATATATAAGTACCTTAAAATGTATTGCATGTAAAGATGAGACAATTTATTATTTTAAACTAAGGTCACTCAACTTTTGAAAACTTTTATTCATGTAGGAAATAATTCACGAAAATTTCTTAACATGCTTTCAGATAATAATAATAAACAAAGTTTAAAAAGGAAAAGTTCCTCTGGTAATAATTGTAAAAAACAAAAAATATTGGTCTCCGAAACTCATGATGTTGTATTAAGCAAAGAGAGCAGTCAAATAAATAATAATATACCGAATAGCAGCAATATTGATAATGGGAAAGAAAATTTAAGAAGCATCAGTGAATCAGACAATGGTACAGAAGACAATAAACTATTAGTACCAACAAAAGTATTGGAAGTCAATGTTATTCAAGACTCGCCACACACTGAGAAAATCAAAAAGATTGAAAAAGAAATAGCTCGGTGTAAGACTGTGATAGCAAAACTTGATGAACTAGAAGTCGAGGACGACAGTGTAAACTCACCCTATATTAGGAGTGAAAAGTAAGTTTGTGAACATACATATATATGTATGATAATCATGTTGCTTATATATAATAGATGGTTTTATTATATATAAATGCTATATCTGGGTCGGTTTGTGGTATATAAAATATCTTTTAAGTCCTGTAGTGGAAGCTTATATTTTCTTATATAATCTTGAAACAACTCGTAAATAATATATAAATTTTTATTCTTTGATAAACATATATTGTTATATTTGTTTTATGCTACCTCTCACTGCTTTTTTTATATGCTAAATGTTATAAATTATCAATTTACAAGCTTAAAAGATTTTCTTGTAACATACAAATTTACTTTTAATGGGTGCATGTATTTTCAGTATTATTATAGTGCTTTGACTTGGTTTCTGGCTTAACATATAACTTTTGCTGTTAAATATCTGACTACTTATATTTTTCCTGTTGTATAACCAAAAAAATGGTCTTTATTCTGATTAAAATGTAGGATTTAGTTGAGTGGTGTGATACAATCATTTGATTTACCAGCAATATCCACAATTACGAATGTTTTGCACATTCAACAATAATATGTAACTAACTATGCAACTGCTCTTAGTTTTTACCAAATTATTTTTATGTATGATTTTATAATCACTCTTTTATTTTCATGATTATCATACAACCACTTTTTGCTAAAATGAGTAGTTTCTAGATAGTTTTCAGAGCTTTTGATCTTAATTTATCTTCTTCTTCTACCTGTCAATTTCCCAGCTTTAGCCAGGGTCTGCCTTACATGTTGTAAATAGTTTTGGCTAATTGTTTTTACGACTTTTTGGGAATGCGTTAATCATGTGTGTCTAAATACTCATTAAAATATACATATGACTCCGAAAAATCACATTGGTATTTGTCAGGGACAGGATCGAACCCGCGCCCTCGTGCATGAGAGGCGGGCCTTTTAACCACTAGGAAACTACTGACTGCATTTAGTCTTATTTTATACTAGAGAGTATTCTTATATTACTATACAACATTTCAATAATAATTGTCAGTAGTTGTCCAATTTCAGAACCCTCTATGAAGATTCCAAGTCATCTTCATATCGTATTTAGGAAATTCTTGACAGTATGTATTACTTATTCTATAGTTCTATGAGTTTAAAAAACTCGTGCATTCTTTTAACAATTTTGCATACGATATTTTATTGGAAGCACTCATAAAAAGATAACGCGTTATCAGTCCCATTATCACTGAACTCGACAAACCTCAACAAATTGTTCAGGGAAACAACAGATTGATTTGCTAATTATTGAACGAACCCATATGTACTATTAAATGTGAGTTTTGAAATTAAGAAAAAAATTTGAATTTTTACAAAAAAATATGTACATTTAAATAATAGGCAATCAAAAATTGGTAGATATATTAATTTAGTTGCATAAGACTTGGATTTACACAAAGTTTTGATCAATTTTCTATGAAGTTACCTGAAATTGTCTAAAATGTTTTTGGGTCATTTTGCAAAATAAAACTATTTATAAACGATTGCGATTAGATGATATAAAACAAAATCTAAATAACATATATCATTCTCTGGACTAATATTCAAAATACGCTCTCCTATTTATTGTGTTGTAGTTTTGTTTTCATATTTTCACTAAAAATTTTCGTTCTGGTATCAAACTACCTACATAAATTGTATCTAAACAAAATGAAGGAAATTGATATGAGTCCTAAAGACAAAATTACTATAAATTCCAGGCTTAAAGCTAAAATTGTTACGCTGTACGGCGAGTTATGCGAACTCACGGGGAGTACACCGATTAAGAAACGGAAGATTCATCTCAAGGTCGTTGAAGGTCATCCCGAAGGACCCGTGAGGTGTTTGGAGACGTTTCTTAATGAAAACATAGGCAGTGATGGTGACCCGCCATTCCCTGACTTCAGTGACGTAGTGCAGTGTGTGAGTGAAGCCAACGAAAAAGATAAGCTAGGATGGACCAGACCAGATGTACTCAAGGAAGGTATGACATGTTTGAATTACTTGATATGGTAACGATTATGCTGTGAGCGATGAATGTACGAATTTTGATGTGGAAACCCTGGAAACGGATAATCCATAAGATTTAACGTGGGAGAATGAGATAGGAAGCAATATAAAGCTAGATTATAGTGGAATGTACAATTTTTCGTTAGTTTGTTTTGAAGTCGGATAATGGTCGACTAATTGGGAAGCTTCCTTAGAGCTTTGAGCATAAATACGGTCCTTTTGTTTGTTAAAATATTGCTCAATCGTAAACAAAATTTTTCTGTGACCTCCCTTTACGTACCGCTTCAGTTGTTGTTTAGATTTGATCACCGTATTCTTTTTTAAATTATGATTTAAAAAATGCCCATTGCGTCTCTTACAGGCTGCAAATCCTACTTCCTCTTTTAAAATACTCGACATGGCTCTAGGTGCTAACTTCATCTCCCGAGATAAAATCTTTTGCTTTCGGATAGAATTTCTTTGAATTCTTTCCCTTAGTGCTTTGACAACCTTTTTCGTACGAACACTAAGTAGACGGCCAGATCTTTTTCTGTCACAAACAGAGGAGGTCTCATTGTACCTATTAATAGCTCGGTACACAAACATTTGACTAATGCCAAGCGTGTGGAGAGTTTTAAAAATTGCATTTGTCTCCATACCCACTTTGTGTAATGCAATCACAGCGATTCGGTTCTCTTTATCACCCCACTCCATTTTAATATCGCCAAATATTGAACAATGTATTGACGCCAAAATAAGAAAACACAATGAAAAATTATATAAAAATGACAGATTCCAAATTCAAATATAATTTATTGTTTATTTTTAATTGTAACAGTTATGGCCAGATTATGTATATATAACTCTGTCTGAAGATAAGATAAATGAAGATTTTTAACTTTTTTAACCCATACCATTCTAATCTCGTGTAAAGTATTGTCAATTTAATTGAAATATCAATAAAAACTTCGTATATACCTAAAATGTTTTTATATGTTCAGCTCGTGTTTTATTCACACAATGCGGGCGCGCGCTTCAGCAGCGTCGTCAGAACAGAGAGTGGCAGGATCTGTTACATAAAGTGAAGTTGCAACGATGTGATACAGACCCCGCGGACAGCGACCCGGCGCTGTTAAAACAATTAGAAGACAACAGACGCTACGCTGTGAAGAAGGAATCGGAGCTACTAGAAAGGTTACTAGTTTTAATATAGATTTTAATTTGAAAGGTGGCAAACGAGCAGACGGCCTAAATGGGCAGTAGTCACATTCGCCCATAGACATTCTCAACATAAATGTTGCGGTTGCGTTGTTTACTTCCATTTTTGAGGAAAAAGAAAGTGTGGGAATAAGGAAATGACGGGAAAGGGTAGGAACATGGAAGGAGCAACTGGCTCTCTCATTCACCAACGCAGCTATTAAAGACTACTTCACGCCGATCTCCTATGAGAAGGTAGTACTTTCCATGTCGAAACTGCCCATGCTCGAGCTGTAGTAACTTGATCATAGCTAGACTAAGATTCGTCTGTATTTGAAAACTCAACGGAGTTTTCGGAAATCTTTTACTAAATACAACTTTCAATCTGCTGCTATATGTTTTTGAAATAAAATTAATTTTGTATCTTTACACATTTTCACCTCCCATATGATAGGAAAATCACATATTAAAAAAAAACATTATGAAAATAATTAATTGCTAAATATGATACTTTCAGATATACAATGATGCAGACGGCGCCATCTACCGCCGTTTCAAGTCAAACACAAGAATTCATTAAATGTGTTGAAGATGATGAAAGTTGTGATGAGACGGATGTATCCAGAGATATATCTTTATGTCCGGAAAAATCAGAAAATGGCGGCACATGTATGAAATTGCAGAACGATACAATAAGTGATGATTTAAATGAGATTAAAATAAAGAAAGAACCAGAAGAAGAGATAGAAGAACGTCTTGGGGAACTGGGAGATGATTACACATTGAGCATTATTGAGATAGACAATGATCCGCGCGTTATCATTGAAATATCTGATAGTTCGGGAGATGAGGGTAGTTGAAGTCTGTAGTGCATTTTGCCACACATACACTGCCGATTTAATAATGTAATTTAACTTTTGTACGAATTTGATGAATGTTAAGAGCTTTAAACTGTATTAAATTGATTGATAATTGTTTTTGATTACAAAATTTTTTATGTTTTATTATTATTACCTCTCTGTCAAACTTTATAGGTTATATCAGAACCCTAATTGCTGCCGTTTCTGTAAATGTTCATATGAAAACAATTTAAACCAAAAAAATATGATTAATATAAAAAATAATAATTTTAGAATATTTTCGTCTATATGGCTAAATGGATCTTCACTAAGTAATGTAGGTTACTTTGTTATAAAAAAATACGTGTTTTATACCATTCTATGTCTATACATAAGAAACACATTATTTCAATGAAATTTAAAACTGCTGTTATTTTAGCTAAATATAGTGGATCAGTTATTCTACAATCTTAGTTCAATTAAACAATACATGTGGTATTGTCTGAAAATTCGAGTTATCTTTAGAATTTAAAATTTCAAAGACTTAACCTTCATTATAAATTACTTCCACTTCTCTACAAATTCATACTAAAGGCTGGACGTGCCTCAACACAACGTGGCGAGTGTTCATAAAACAATTATGAATTAACTATGAAGCTAATTTTCAGAGATCACAACTGCTTGAATTGTTCTATGTATTAGGGTGTCCCATAAGTTTCTTCCGCGCTACGTTATGAATGAGTCTGACTGGCTATGCTTATATAAACATGCAGGCTTATCTCTTAGCCGTTTATGGCATCGGTTTCAGTCGTCCCAGAGCTCTTTCGAAGTACGTTTCGTTGGTGACAAAGCCTCTTTTTAAAAAAAATCTGCCCCGTTCAATATGGAGAACCAAAAGAAGCATTTACGGGATGTTATGCTTCATTGCTTTAAAAAAGGCAATAGTGCAAAGAACACTGCAGATGAGATTTGCACCGTTTACGGGAGTGGTACTACGACCATTAGGACCGTCCGCAATTGGTTTAAGAAATTTAGAGCCGGCAAATTTGATTTGCAAGATGAAGATCGCAGCGGCCGCCCAGTAACGACGGATGCGGACCTTATCAAGACTGTGCTCTCTGAAAATCCGCGAGATAGAGGATAAAACTAACATTCCCAAGACAACGGTACATAAGCATTTGATCAAGATGGGATATGCAAATCGGTATTAAGTTTGGATTCCACACCTAATGACGGAGACCGGCCTTATGAACCGCGTCTCTACGTGCGATTTGATTCTTCGTCGTGTCGTCGTGATGGTCGTTAGCCAAAAATTATTACAGTTCGATTGGGACGTTCTACCTCATCCTCCGTACTCCCCAGACCTTACTCCTTCTGATTATTACTTGTTCCTCTAATTAAATAAATATCTCCGTGGTAAATCTATCAAATCCATAAGCGAAATAAAAACGCACACAGACGAATATTTTGCAAGTAAGCCTCAACAATTTTGGAAAGAGGGCATAATGAGGCTTCCTGAGAGATGAAAGAAGATTATAGAACGGAACGGTTCATATATAACACAATAAATCAACCTCAAACAACAAATATCTTGTATTCATTTCGCATCAAAAAAAGGGAAGAAACTTATGGGACAACCTATATATTAGTAACTGCAACTTTTACCTCTTAACAATGCTTTAGTCTGTGACCACGGTATAACTCTAGTCATTCCCACTGGACCTAATTATTAATACCTAATATATTAAATTAAAAATATGACTCCTTAGGAGACGTAAAAGGATGCTGTTTTTAGGTAAAAACAGAAAAGGGTTCACACAGAGCATTAATAAAAAAATAATAAATATATACAATTTTCCTAACTTCGAATTACATGACAGGCTCAACTAGAAACATTTTGAACTATAATAATAACACTGGTCAACAAAATTTTGACTTTTTAATGCCACACAGACTTTTTTGTTATTTTTTAATTAAATAGTTAATTATAAAACCAAATAAACAGTTAAAAAAATTTGCTGGCCAAGAATTTTTTTCTACTGTGTAATTAAAAAATTAAGAAAAACCACGGATCTAGTAAATAAAAAGTTTCTTTTTTCTAAACGACTGAATGTAATCTAGGATTTTCTCGAGTATTTAGCTTCTGGTTAGTCTCTTTTAATTGTCCAGCAATAAGCTGCTAACATTTCTAATATAGAATGGGCCCCATTTGCTTTGTTACAGCTTTTCTATATTAGAAATTTTCTGATGGAGTCTCTGATAGTGCTCGTCACTGTCAGCCCTGAATTGTCTGGAAAACATCCAGGTGAGAGTCTAAAAAATGTAATTTAAGAGAAATGTTGCGACCCAATCCTTGATATGACAATAGTAGCTCGTTACCCAACTCTCACTACTTAACCAACACTCTCGTATTATGTAGCAAATTCCATTGTTTTAGACGGGATTTTAGTAGTTCTGACTACTTTTTGATAAATTTAAATCCTAAATCAAATCAGTTAGGTCTCTTTGAGTTATCTAATGTGGCTTGTTTACAATTTCTACATACTCAAAGTCATCATCCTCTTCAACACATTGGCCTGAAGTTGACGGTTGTGAATAGTCGTTCTCAACAGATGAATTTATAACTGGTATTTGTTTTGTCATTTTTTTTAACAATAAGAGACTGGTCTTATAGCCGAAGATAAGTTGGGGTAAATATCTGTGTTTTCTTTTTGTAATTTATACCTTTTATATCAATGAGACAAAAATAGGAAATCTGAAAAATGATCTCGCCGTTCAATCCATACAGGGTGACTGGTGAATTACTATCAATATTTAAGGAGCATACTCGGTACATGATTCTCATTCGAATTATGTAAAAAAAATAGGTACTTAATTTTTGACCAAATTTCCGTATAAATAAATAAAGTATGTACACGTTCCAAGTGTTCTAAGTGTGGACGCGCGCGGCGGCGTGCTGATACAACACTACGCCGCCACCGCGTCTGTGTGTATACCTAATCTGTAGGGTGTTCATACGATGCGTAATTAATTACACAACTTTTGGTTAACTTTACTTAGAAGTTTATTAATATTTATGTTATATTAATTTTTATTTTGTCATATAAGATCGTCAAATATCACGTCCTCAAATATCGATAGTAATTCACCAGTCACCCTGTATAATGGGTAGAGCAAATGGCATAGGGCGTCCACCTCTTTCAGTCAGTAAAATTTTTCACACACGTTATACAGCAGACATGAGGAGCCCAGGATTTGTCTTGATGGGCGACAGAAAAACCAAAATATTGTTGATAACGCCCCAACACAAGATTCGTCATTGTTTTTTAAATGTTAATTTCCCGCAGACGTAACAAAAAGAGTTATTATCATTATTACGCTTCCTCGACATGTTCACAAGATTAATGATTCATAAAAAAATGTTTAAATTTAACGACAAATATTTTTATAACGATTTACTTGTAAGCGTATCTGTTAATTAACAGCCGCAGTACTATTTATCAGAATTACCGTATCACAACAAATATAAGGCTAACTGACCCATGAAAACTGTGATTTAAGAATGAGGATAGATTGATAAAACAAAATTTCGTATCAGAGTTTATGTGGCAAATTTATGTTAATGACTATTCCAGTAATTATTTCGTTACGACAATATATATTGTTCCTAAATTATAAGACCTAGCTTCTCAAATTTGTTACATATAATTATTTATATAGGTAGATGAAATAAAATGTCTTCTCTCTTCAGGCTTATATTTTTACAGTTTATAATTTGTATATACAGATCGCCAGATATTCGTATTATATGGATAAATTACATATTTATATAAATTAAATCAGAAACCACAAAATAATGGACGATTGTTAGTATGAAATAAGTTATGATGGCATTTTTTTAAATAGAAATCCTATGAAAAATCAGATTACTGTTTTTGGATCAAATTCTGAATAATTGAATGTGTTAATAACGGCGCCACCAAATTGATGTTGGTCAGATGCATGATATTAATTTAAAAAATCAATAGGTATTACCAAACTTTTTATTACTTGCATTAAGTTTTCAGTCCAGGCAACTATTTACTTTATACTTTTTCATTCGATTCCATATTACTTAAAGATTCAGTAGGTATCCAAGAGTAATGAATAAATGATAGGAAGAAATAAAATAATTTTAGTATAAATTACCAATGCAGTGTTTGTGATGCCCCGTTCAAAAATATCTCGTCACTCCGCCATACCAATGAATGAGAGCTGAAAAAGAAATACCTACTGGCATAGCCTTTTGCGAAATGTTCGCAAGAATTCAGTGGGACTTATAACATATAGATAGACTAGACATTAGTTTTGTCATTATATGAATATTTAACTTGAGTAGTAACTAGCCTTCAAATAAATATTTAAGTACATAATTGATATTGCCGCAACTAAGAGATATATTTATTATATTTTGAAGTTTGATATATTTCTGTATTTTTGCAAACTAATTATTTCATCAACAGCAATGTAAGGTTTAATACATAATCGTTGTTTTGGTAATTTTTCTTTAGCATTAGTTTCGTTGATTCATCTTACTTTCTTTGTAGCAATTTCGCCAAAGACATTATTTAACATGTTAATTTTTGAACTACTTTCTAGAGGCTAAATAAATCAATTTTCCTAAGAAACAACCACCATAGATTACAATAAAAATAAAAAGGGGTCTAAAGAAAAAAAGAAAAGAAATAAAAACAAAAAAATAAACTAGTGGAATCACAAGTCACGGTAATTATTTTGTACAGATTTTAATTCGACAGACTGTTTTCACATTTAAATATCAAGAGCTGAATGCTTCGTAATTCGGTAATGTTTGCACATTAACAAAATGACACAAGTAAAAAAATGCACATGTGGATTATTCATTGAAGATTTATAATACTAACATCGATCTAATCAAATCTTACGTATATACAACTCAGTACTATCGTCCAGATATCGATCCAACCCTCGCCCCGTTAAAATAAACTTACGGTCACTTCGACACGTACGTGATACAGTTTAACCTACAATGGTAAATGTAAATCATTGTGAATACAAGACACTACACTGGACTTAATATAATCACGATCAAAGGAAACAGTTAAAAGTTGAAAGAAAAATTGTTCAGACTAAAGTATTTTATTGTACACCTCGCGATGTCATCTACAAATACTTTAGGTTTTTTTGTTATAAATTAAAAAAAACTTGATTACAAGCTGCTAAGTATAAAAACTTCATCAACAATAACGATTATGCAATTTCGAAATGTACATATGAATCTGAAGGTAATAAAAAAAAACACCGTTACCGTATTAGTCAGATATAGCCTTAGATTAACACTACTTGCAATGTACGAATTTTGAATGCATAAAAAAATATTTCTTCTATAGGGCCTTACCTTACATCCTTACAATATATTATTCGTATATCATATATCGTCTTTGACAATTTGATGTTCATCCAATGACATACAAGTAAAAAGTACCCTATTTAGCCCTCGGTGGCGACACTCGCTCACTTCTAGTTGTGTAACCTGTAGTGTAGAGCAAGGAAAGGCCTATGCGATCTCGTCTAAACGTAGCGCCTACTTTAGAATATTTAAATATTTCTTTACCTATAAAATGCGTTTCAGTCTTCACTGAATGTATGCGGGTCATCGTCTGTATGTATGTATGTATCCTGAACGTACTTCAATATTACGAGCGAGGCTCTTCGCTTGAGGACTAATCAATCACACACCACATTTAAGAATTTTCTTTATTTCTATTTTTTTGTATTTTCTTTTTTACCTTTTTCGTCGGTTCTGTTAAATGTATTTATTTTATTTTTTATTAATTTAGCAATGCACGGGTATAAGTCTGTGTTGGCGTCATGTTTCCGAACACCGACGAGTCTCATACAAGATCGCAAACTGACGGCTCGCAACTTAACATGACACGGAAGCGAAAAGAGAACAAACAAAACAAAACAAAACGTCGGACGCGCCGCCGCCGCTCACACCGCATGTACCTGTACCAGACACACTGTTATTGGAATGATGTAAACGATTTGTTACTGCGGAGTAAAATGTTTAAGAGGTTCCCAGGTTTGTGTCGGTGTGAGCGGCGGCGGATAGTGAAGCCCGCGTCAAACGAACATATTTTACGTTAAGTTATACATAATATTATGTTTTACATTTATGTAAGTTGTTGATTGTAAAAAAATTATATGCTTGTTATAATCCCTATAAATGCTGTTTTTATTTATTTGTCGAGAGCCGTGTTTGCCTTCACCGCGATCACACACTCCTCGCCGCAAGACTTGAGGACAGTGCACTGGAAACAACAAAAACACTCATATTATATAAATATCTTATAGAATATTATCAATGGGCGTTTGATAACATAATTATCATATCTTAGGACTGATAAAAAACTCAACAGATTCTTTCCAATGGATTATAGCAATACAGATATCCTTGTTTTCATAGTTATTGTTCATAGGTAAAATATTTCTCAATAAATTTGTCTTCAAACCCGTATATCCATATAGCTGATATTTACCAGCTCAGGTAGTGGGCGGTAGTTTTATATACGAGTTAATTTAGCACCAACACATTATATAATGTGTCAGAGACTCTACACTCGAACATGTACAATGATGACTGATGTTTGAATGAACCTCACAATGCATATTTATCAAATTAACAAAGTAATCTATTATAGTTAAATATTCAATAAATCCCCGATCCAGCATTTTCTGTTATTTTTTGTTAGTAAACACAAGGTGTTAATTTTTTTAATGGTTGATGGTATTCACACTAAGAATGAGCTATGTTTGAATATATCTTATAATGATCATCAATCATCATTTCTCCTCAAATTAACCAATAAATCTATTATTAATCAAATCCACCTACAACCCAGTATTTTCTGGCATTTTATCTAAATTAAGCACAAGTTGATAGCATTTCTAATTGCCAGTGTAATCTTCTACAGTATACTACATCTAGTCTCATAATTCTCTCTGTACCCACCAACAACTCCTTGCCACTGTCAAAGTCGGCCCGTAGCTGCAGGCCGAGGTCTCCGTCGGGTATCTTGAGGTCCTCGCGCAGGTCCCCGTTGTCAGCCATGAGCGTGAGGTACCCGTCGTCCGATATGTCCGTCAGCTGGTAGTCCTCGCGCTTCACGTGAGGCACGTCCATGTTGTGAGTGGAAGGACATATATCCTCATACCTAACAATATATATTATATTAATACTAGCAGATTTAAGTCAGTGGTAGCCTAGTGGCCTCTCGTTGCCGAGGGCGCGGGTTCGAAACTGACCCGGGCAAGTACCAATGTGATTTTTCCGAGTCATATGTACTTTCTAAGAATATTTAGACATCACTGATTAATGCATTCCCAAAAGAGAGTTAATGTCAAAGGCAGCCGGTCGTAAAAACAATTAGCCAAAACTATTCAGATTCATAACATGTTAAGGCAAACCCTGGCTGAAGCTGGGAAATTGCTAGGTAGAAGATTAATACTAGCCGATTTATTCCCAAAAGAGGGTTGATGTCAGGCAGGCGGTCGTAAAAACAATTAGCCAAAACTATTCACACATTTAAGGCAGACCTTGGCTAAAGTTGGGAAATTGCTAGGTAGAAGAAGATAAATACTAGCCGACTGATTAAAAAATAAATGGTGATAAAAGGTTAAAAAATTAGGGTTGTTATACGTATTTTTAATGAAACATAATAAAAAGAAATTAAAGAAATGTTAAGGGTGGACAACCTTTATCACCAAGGGGTATGAAAAATAGATGTTGGCTGATTTTCAGATTTACACAATATGCTCACAAAATTTCATGAGTATTGGTCAAGCCGTTTCGAAGGAGTACGGAAACAAACATCGTGACACGAGAAATTTATATAAAAGATTAAATATAATACATTAGTGACAATTTTGAGAGATTTTTGATTTGTACATTTTAACACTCAACACATAAATAGGTATAAATTTTATTATTATTGTATAGTAAGCATTTAATTAAATTGGAGAATATTTCACAAGTCTAAAGTTTTAAATCAGTTTGCTTCTATACAACCAGCTTTTCAAATATTAATCACATAAGCATCGAGTCCGTTAAGTTGATTACAACGAACTTTCTTATAGTGAAAAACAAACGTAAAGACGTAGTTGAATGAATAATAAATGTATGGTCAAGTGAATCGATGACTGCTACTTCGTCAGTTAGCATTTTAAGAACATTTGTTATAATTCTATACAAGATATTAATGTATTGAATATTCTTTTAATGTATTTGTGTTCCTTTTCGGTGATCCCATAAAGCAGTGGCTGAATGAGACGCATATAGGGAATTGATATTTTCTATCCGAGTACCCTCAGCACGAGAGCCATATAAAACAGTCCTCGCGACTCTATGGGCTCGATACTTTAATATTAACTAATCATTTAGTTAAATGAATTAAATATTTAACTTCAAATCCCTACTAATATTATAAATGCGAAAGTAACTCTGTCTGTCTGTCTGTCTGTCTGCTACGCTTTCATGCCTAAACCACTGAACTGATTTTAATGAAATTCGGTACAGAGATAGAGTTGACCTTGAGAAAGAACATAGGATAGTTTTTATCCCAGACTTTTGAAAGGTTCTCTTGGAAACGCGATATAACCGAACTCCACGCGGTGAAGCTGCGGGCGGAAAGCTAGTATGTAATAAAAAGCTAGCAAAATAGTGTTTAGGTAGCTCTCTACCTAAGGACCTCTTCTCTCTAAGAGCTTGGACAGTGAGGGTGAGCGTTTAACGCGCGTTAGATAGGGGCCCCTTAAAAGATGGGTTAAAGATGCCTAAATAAATAAAAATTATTATTATTAAACCTACACCTGGGTCGTTAGTCCCAGGCACTGTTGAAGCTCCTCTCCTACAACGATGGAGTCGGCACCATACAGTGAATACATTCTACTTTAAGCCGAGATCAGATTTTTAATTATCTATTGTTATACAAGTTTTTTAATTATGATAATAATATATATAATACTAACTTCTTTCCATTGAATATATCTATGCCGACCAAGTGGACCTTAGCGTGACCATGTTTCCCTGTCTTGGAGGTGGACATCTCTACAATCTTGCAGGGGCGACCTTTCAGCATCACGAACCCGTTCTTGCGGAGGGCCGAGCATTGCATGGGGAAGGTGGCTGAGGCTCCGGAGTCCCCGGTCTCAAAGTGTGTGTCTTCAATGTCGCCCATTGTTGTGTAGTTTGGGTTTCAGTTATCTGATAAGTATAACTTGTATGAGATATGTACATATTGATTATAATTCTGATATATTAAATTATATTATTGTAATAGTTTGTGCTCCTATACGGTGATCCCATAATACAATTGTAAGATGAGACGCATAGTCGGACCTGATATATACTTTATGAGTACCCACAGCACAAATACAGTATGAACTGCAATTGCGACTCTATAGGCTCAAAAATTTTAAAACAACTTAATATATTTAAATAATTTTCTTTCAAAGCTCATTATAAGTGAAATGGTAACTTATTTTGTATATAAATTTAGTTACTTGAAACAAATCGAAAGAGTATATAATCCATGTTTTAAAAAGTGAAAGTTTCGTGTGGCACCTGGCACTTGATATTATATGAAGATTTTAAATATAAAATTGCAATACATTTTTCCAATAATATATTTTAAGTCAATAATTTATCATGATATAAATATAGTAAAAACAAAAAGATCAATGACAATGAAAATTTATCTTATTATAAGGTACGAGATGAAATCTTTAAATCATCTAAGTGATATAACATACAAAACCTTGGCATTAACTGTATGACTCAATGTGTTAAGATGAATATTTGTACAGGGTTCATTGAACTTATATGTCAATGAACCTTTATTTGAAAAATATCTGAAATTACTAGAAAAGTTTAGACATACTATGAATATTTCAAGTTAGCACAATAATAGTTACTTTGCTTGTCAAATTACATATTATAAGTTATGCATAAATATTTATGCTGACATGTGACTTAAATGTGTAAAATTCACATTTCCAATAAAATGCACTAAATTTTTTAGGATTGCTGATTAAATTGAAGTCAGTAGTACCTCAATGAGCAAGATATTCTATAATAATGTTAAAAAACTATCAATTTTACAAATAGAGAATGCCAGGTATATTTGAGAAGTAAAATTATTGAAGACATTCAACACAAAGAAACATGGCTATCAAAATCTATATATATGTATTGATTTATTGCTTTCTGAATTTAAAGCATAGGACAAAAGGTGCATCATAAGATATGGATTTGAGCACTCACATTGTGACAATGGACTTTCGTTACACATACATTAAATTGATGGAAAACGTGGATTTCCATAAAACACATGCACTTCGAAAATTAAATCTTCAATATTTTATAAAGAAACAAAATTCACGAGACACATTGCGATGTCGAAAATGTGGCAGTGATTGAAATCATATCCATTAAAATTTTATATGTTAAATGGTAATTATAAAATGCACATGTATCGCTAGGTTTACAACACTATTCAATTTTAAACTAATTGCAATGCATTGAACATGTGTATGCAAAAACTGAGTACATACGTTTTATATTAATAATCCCAGGACGCACTTAAAATTTCCTTTACCACCGGAGTAACAGGGCACGCCTGCCTTATCTAGACATGAAAAATATGTGACTAGGTACAGACCGAAAATTCAGAACCTAACCCCACCTAGCGTTTTATGAGGAAAACCTACAACTTTGTATCTCGGAAAATATGAATGATCAAAATAAAACACTATGTAAATATTTAAAAGATAAGAAATTAAACTATTTACTTTCTTTTAAACTACATCAAAATTATAAATTCATTATCAAGCCGTGTGGTGGACGAACATGTGCCTTTTTAGAGACATCTTGATCATGTCTTCCAGACTAAACAAATTATATTCGAAATTATTACTACACTTCAGTTTTATGTTAATAACGTTATATATTTATAATTACAACTTAAAATTATTGATAAAATGTATTATTGATCGCAATATTAGTATAAAAGAAAAATAGCAAAATTTGACAAACGTGCCGGTGCCGCTTTTTAAATTCTTCAATTTTTACACAAATATCACACATTTAAAAATACTTTTTTTTCACATATTTTAATTCACTATTAAAAATACTTACAAAAACTATAATTAAGTCTTACAAAAGCAGAACCACGATATAACTAAGATATTTATCGCCACTCACATGTGAGCGACGGGTTCTTCAACCGAAAGGTCAATTTGCGCCTGCGTAGCACCTTCATCACTCACTTCCTGTCGCGGGGTTCTCAACTACACCACAGAGCCGCTGTTAATTGGCGCGAAATTTAGATTTTACATTTGAGACCCTAAAAGAAGTTATACTTTTCTGAATGATTTCATAAAATATTAAATAACCTTAAATATACTCTATTTAGTCATAATATTTAGGAAAGTACAACTTCGCAAAATGTTTCTTTGATTCTTCACAAGCAGTATTTAATTTTTAGCGTAAACTGTTTTATCGACCAAATAAGTTTTATACTTCTTCCACGAGATGGCGCCACGTTACATCGTAGTTGACGCGTAGCCACCTTCATCACATATTTACAGACTATAAAAGCTTACAAAGACAACAAATAAAATTATTCAACATAAAAATTTACAACAGATATTAAAATTATTATGTTATAAATTGAAATAAATTAAATGTAAACAAATTACTATGTCTTTTAATCGTAGGATAATACTATCGAAGACATTGTATTAACATGGTTACTAGTGCCATCTATTTTAATAATAGAAATAATTTAACTAGCCCGAAAGTGTAGATGGCGTTGGTAATCGTAACAAAACAATATTTCTCTCATATTCAATGTCGTAAAAAATTATTTTCATTCCAAAAAATGAAGTAATTATTTTAAAACTATTATGTTATGGTATATTGAAATTTAATTTAAATTTTTTTAAATGCATTAGGATAGAATTATTTCTACTCCTACATGAATATTTAGAATTCGATATACATTAAAATATAAATCGTATTTTTTGATTAATAAAACTAAAGTATAAGTAAGCTGCTTAATTAATACAGAATTAATTCATAAACCCCTTATAATTTATGTACCTTAAAATGTAAAAAGATTTAAAAATAGTAAATAAAAATATTATGAATGATAAATTGACAAAAACTCACTTTCTGATGATTTTAAATTAAATAATCTGTTAAAAATATAACTTCCTAACAAAATAAGGAATAGATAATTCAGGTCTCTTTAAAAAAAAAATGTTTGCATAGTTTAAAACATGATTTCATAAATTACTCTAGGCATTATAAATGTGTAGTAAAAATCTTTTTGTATTATTAGTGTCAATTAAAACTCCGCAAGACTACGGGTGTCTATGAAAAATTACGCATTATCATAACAATGAATTATTTTATCGCTGTTTCAATAAAACATTACCAACCACAAGTATAATGTCTATTTAAAACAGTTTTTTTAGCAAAACAGTTGCGTATTCATTGACTAGCTGGTATAATTGAATATGCTGTTATTTAAAATGATTTTTGAGTCAAATAAATGATGTCTGTCTGTTGAGGAGGGGGGGGGGGGTACTTTGTCATTACGTCACTAATAGTAATTTGATTATTATAAGGTTTGGTACTATGTAGTTTGGCTAAACCGTAGAATAGAGGTATTTCTAAGTAATTTAAATATAAGTTCTAAGTTCTTTCACACTCATACATTTAAGGAAGCTAATGTTTATGTTCAACCAATAAATACAGTCAAAAAATTTAGGTAACAGATTAATAATAATTACTTATACTACAGCTTCAATAATTACTTTATTGGTCGTTTCATCCATTTTGCGTTTTAATAATATTATTTCATAATTTCTTTAATTCATAATAATGATTAATGGAATACCATTCTTTTTGAAATATATAACTTTAAAATCATCATTATAGATGCGTTCTCTTTTTGAATTCTAACTTTTTAATATTTAGAACAGCCGATCACTTATTTGAATTAAATTTACCCTGAATAAAGAAAAAATATATGTTTCCTAATAGATTAAAATACGTAATTATTTATTAATAATAAAATTGTATATAGAATACGTTTAAATGAATAGACTGTATCTGTAGATAATGACCCGTGGCGGGCGTTTGTATGGAGACCGCAAGGGTTTAAAAGCTTTCTTCAATAAATCACTGCCGGGGCCAAAAAATCCCTTCTGTTACGAACAAAGGATACACAATTACTGGAGTATTGATATAGAATTATGTTGAGATTATGACTTCATCTAGTCATCATATTATCATTAGCCTCTTAATGCTTTTATTTATCTGTTGTTTTTTTTTTTATATAAGCATTGATTTATTTGTACATCTCTGTAAACGGATGTGATTTTTAATTTTTATTAATATAAATATAATTGTGTTGATGAGTGATATCGTATTAGTAAAGATTAGATGTCTTGTAGTCTATTGTTTATACTGTTTTTTTTTTTTTATATCGCAAAATGAGACAATAGATTTGAAAATACATAGAATAATATTATGGCGGTTTGTTTATTTTATTTTTTTCTATATTATTTGGTTACTTAAATTATGATTTGTAGATCGGACTAACAAAATAATATCATTAAAAAGTATTTTATTTATTCCATAGTTTAAAGATTATCTTCTCTATGGTAGGTATCTGTTTTATTTTTCCTGAATAAATTAGCTTTATTGTTCAAATTTGAATGCATATACAGGTGAGTGGTGAATTACTATCGATATTTGAGGACGTGATATTTGACGATCATATATGACAAAATAAAAATTAATATAACATAAATATTAATAAACTTCTGAGTAAAGTTAACCAAAAGTTATGTAATTAATTACGCATCGTGTGAACACCCTACAGATTAGGTATACACACACACTCACACTCGCGCGGGGCGGCGTGGTGTTATATCAGCACGCCGCCGCACGCGTCCACACTTGGAACACTTGGAACGTGTCCACACTTTATTTATTTATACGGAAATTTGGCTAAAAATTAAGTACCTATTTTTTTTTACATAATTCGAATGAGAATCATGTACCGAGTATTCTCCTTAAATATTGATAGTAATTCACCAGTCACTCTGTATAATTATCTGAATTCTGAGCTATCTTAAGTAAGTATAATATATTTTTTTCTTCACATCTTCACCAGATATTAATTTAACAATTTATTTTTGCATAATGAACATAATACCGTTATAAATTATAATCTGTGGGTTTTTCTGGATTAGGTATAGGTATAATAAATTATTATGCCTTTTTAAACCGAATTTTAAAGAAATTTTGTATATTTGATTAAATGAGTGCAAACGGAATACTTACTACTTCTGTCTAATAAACTTTTGCATTCACAGTAGTATGTAGTTCTGTTTTATATGTAGATAAAACAGAAAGAAAGAATTAACATTAACATTTTTATATTCTGTATTGGATAAAAATAAGAAACTAAAATAAGAAAAATAAATCATAATAATTTTATGTTCAGTTGGTTGGTAGGTACATATGTACAAAGAAATTTTGAAACAGCAAATCACCTATTTAAAAAAAAATTAAAGTTACTTTATATGACACTAGCTTTCCGCCCACAGCTTCGCCCGCGTGGAGTTCGGTTATATCGCGTTCCCAAGAGAAGCTTTCAAAAGTGTGGGATGAAAACTATCCTATGTTCTTTCTCAAGGTCAACTCTATCTCTGTACCAAATTTCATTAAAATCAGTTCAATGGTTTAGGCGTGAAAGCGTAACAGACAGACAGACAGAGTTACTTTCCCATTTATAATATTAGTAGGGATGTAAGGATTACTTGTTTAGATAGGTATATGGTATATCACATCCAAGATGGCGGACTAGATATTTTTAATACTAACTTCCAACATTGATTTTATTTAAATTTTATTAAGTTTATTACGTGATAGGATAATTTCAGTTTTCTTTATATCTTATCGATAATAATTTTTATGATGTTTCCATTATAAATCCCTTATTTATATGTTATACAATATGTTATAACTTTTTTAATAATAGAAATCTCTAATTAGATTGTCATCATAACAAAGAATAGGAAATCATGACAGAAGCTAAGAAACAAAACATGTATACTTAAAAACAAATTATACCTATAATATGAGATGAAGTTTTGATAAATTAAAAGTTAAGTAATGTTTTTGAAATGGAAAGAAGTTATTTTTGATTTCTTAAATTATATTTTTTTTTGTATAAAGGCAATTCAAAAATATATTTCAATTCGCCAACAATTCCTATATATTTCTACCATTTTCTGAGATTTTTCCAAACTTTTCAGAAGGTGTATTGACTGGGTGTAATTTTGTATTGAGGCCTTTCAGTTTTACTCGAATTAATTTTTTTTTAATTTCATGATTTTTGTTGTTTTTAAACGTACCTATTCCACATTAAATTTCTTATATTTGTAAAAAATATTATCCCGAGGAATTAATGTAATTATGGTTAGTGGACATTCTTTTTTAACTCTCAAATCACACATAAAAATATTTTCACTAGCCAATATGCAAATAAAATCAAACATTATATAAAAAAAATAATCAAATCCTCTTTTTACATGGAAATTCTATTTAGATTTAAGCTCTTTTGGATAATTCTGTTACCGAAATTATGCCTAAGTTATTTTAAGAAAATATTTCATCAAGGTTGTTAATTATTTCATATTATTATAGTTTGTTATAAATTATTATTTGTGAACTGTATTTTCGTTTTCAAATCATTTTTTATAAGTTTTTAAAAACAGAGTGAGTGAGTATTTTGTGCTAAGGATTTATAAACAGAAACAATCTATTATTGAATGACCAATTAATTGATAATTTATATATGTATTAGCTTGAAATGAACGATATACCTTTTATACAAAAGAAACTGCAAAAAAAGTCAAGTCGAATACCAATAAGAAACATAATAAATTTATTTATACTCCTCTTATCTCTATTTCCACGTATTACTTAATAATTCATTTTTCCGCTTGATAAAAACAAAACAAACAAAAAAAATGGAAACAATGTTTTAACACTCGAAGTCTGAAACATTAAATATGTATGACTTTTCTTAAACGGCGTTGAAAAAACATCTGTACGGACAATGGCGTCTTACGCGCCATTACAGAAAAAATGGAAAGAACATTTAGAATTAATTTAGCATATTATCATTTACTCCGCAAACTCCATTCCGTAGGCTAAACACCAACTAGCGAGCGGAGCCAATTTTTTAAATGCGGCCAGCGCAAAATAAATTATGTAGCAAATGGGGTACGGTAGATGGACAAACAAGAAATAAAACGCATGAGCGCGTTAGAGCTGGCTGGGGAGATGACTCCACCCTTTTCCCTTCCCTTCCCTTCCCTTCCCTTCTGTTCCCTTCCCTTCCCTCCCGGCCGCTGTCCCGCCGTTCCACTTGAAGACGGCCCCGACAGCTAAGCTTTCCTTTTATTGTCACTTACACCTCAAAGATTTGTTTAACGTTCGAAATCTCTTGAATTCTCTTAACGCCTATCTTGTATTTATTGTTAATCTTAATGGAGGTTTTATAAATTATTTTCTTTTTACAATCAAATTATATATATCAATTGGCTGTTTAATAAATATATATATTACATTTTTTATAATAATTATCGTGAAATATTACACTTTATAAAATATACCTACCTATATTTAGATTACTAATGAATGTTGTCGCGTTTGGATTATGTAAATTTTTATTAAATGTGGTTTTTTCCATTATTATTAAATTTATTCTACGAATATAAATTAGTTTTTTAAGTTGTTTTTTTTAACGAATATTTTCTCAACATGTAGAACTAACAGCTAAAATACTGAGATTATTTTCTCCCATCCCATCAAATATAATTAAAAAAATACTAAATATAGAATTGTCAGAAAAAAATAAAATAAAAATGACATCTCAAATGATATGATTCACAATAATTTAATTTTATTACCTAGGTATGTGTATTTACAAAAAAATATCAATGTTAAATACCTGTTAGGTATATTGTTCAACTTAATTAGAGTATTTTGTTATATTTGCTTTTACTTTCCTATCTATTTTAATAGATTTTTATTAAAAAAAATATGAAAATTTTATGCCTATGAAGAGATTTATTTATGTAGAGTTTTACTTATTATACAGTTGTAGGAATTTAATAAAAAAATATTTTTTTAAATCATTATACTTCAATGTATCTTTGGTGTATATTTTTGTATCAAATACTTATGTGGTTACTTTCAATGAAGTTCTTAAGAATGAGAATAATATATTTGAACAGCATAAATCATATTTTTGTGTCTATAAAAGGCTTGTATATATTTTAATTCAATTTCTCAAACAATGATAGTAGATAAAAGAAATCTCAGTATAATTTACTTATCATAAATAAGTTTAATAATTAATAGCCCCACCAAACATCTAGACGTTTTCATTATCAATTATCATTGAATTAAACTTAAAAGAAAACTTGTTATCAATTAGTTTAACGTAGGAACGAATCGAGTGACGTCAGAATTAAGTTTAACAAGTGATCAGTGATGGGAACGAATTAGATTATGATACTCAGTGTAATCGGAGCCGGTCACTTAATGCCGGTCTTTCATTCACTCAATCTTTTCCGGCGGGGCGATCAACTTAAAAGTATCCGAGGACGTATAAATAATTTACGTAACGGCGACTTGAAGTTCGCGGGCGAGCCTCGCATGCAAATCGCGAGTAGTCTCCGTCTCATTCGTTCATGTCTGGAGATAGTCGCATCTCTAGCGGCGTCTGGACGAGTGGGAACGGGATAGTCTATGTTATAGTCGTGCTAAGTGAATCAGTGCCCACGCCAGCTATTAAATCAACGCGGGAGGGGTGGTTCGCGCTAAAATGCTCTTTACGGGTGGGGTTTTGTTTGGCGAGGGCGGTTTCTGAACGATTACTCGCATACAGCCTGTACGAGCCGGGCTTCACTCCTCAGTCGGTCTCGCGCGGTGGCCGCGGGTGGTTGTGTAAGACTATGTCAGGCTGAGAGCGCTTCTTGACACGAGTAAGGCGGGAAAAGTTCCCGCCCACAACGCAGCGACAATATTTTCAGACGCTAATAAGGTAATTTATTGTACTATGTAAAGTGATTTATTAATGTTATATATTATTTTTATATAATATATTGTACGAAAATTTGTTTTGATGAAGTTTGAACGTATTTTTCAATATAAAAATTACATAGTTGCCTGAAATAAAAATTAAGGAATTAATTTTGAATGAAAAATTAATGAACATTTTAAAAAATTTATTGAAAAAAAAAATTTAAACATCCGACGGCAGTTTCTGAATTGTAATTTTAAATGTATTTAATAAAAATATATGCGAATTCATTTATGTAAATCCAAAAAAAAAAAATCAATATATATATAATTTAAAATTAAATTAATTTCACTGTAAATATGTAATTGATAGTCTGTATATTATTGATAGACGATGGCCGGCGCCCGCCTCAATAATACATGATCTTTGCCCTACCATTGATGAAGCTATTAGGAAATATTAAATATTAATAGTGAAAAGCATACTTCTTCTTTAGTTAGTGGCGTTACCTTAAAGATTTCGACAATTACGGTCGAATTGAAAAACCTCTTTTTTGAAGTCGGTTAAAAAATCTATAAAACCAAAATATGCAACAAAATGATTGCATTAAATACAGAAAAAACAGCAGTAAACTTACTTTAACAATTTTTTAATATAGATAAATATTTAATATGTCGCCGGTAAAATGTTTGACTATTTTTGAAACTATATTTTTAAAAAGTAGATATAGGTAATAGGATAATGACCGTAGATATTTAATATTTGTTTATTTATTAATTAAACCGTTAAAAAAGATCAAGAAACTAGGATAAGATTCTTAAAACATAATTATTCTTCTTCTTCTTCTTGCCAACTTCCCAGCTTTAGCCAGGGTCTGCCTTCCTACACAAACGCCTCCACTTTGCACGGTCTTTGGCATCCTCGGTGGTTAATCCATAATTATTATTTAAAATATATTTAAAACATTAATTTAGTTATTGATTAACTAATTTCAATCACCATTTATACAGTCATAACTCAAAATACTTATTCTCATTGAAAAACGTCTTTTTCTACATACATTCAAAGGAATAGGAAAAAAATGCATTACAAAACAAAGTTAATAATATTAAAATAAAATACACATAATAATTATTATATAATATTAATATATTCTTAGTTAAAATGTATTTCAAATTCAGACTAACTAGATCTAGGAGCGCTTTGAAGCAACGCTAGGTAATTGCGCTTTTGTGAATAAATACATAGAATTGATTTGTTTTCATATAATAAGATATAATTATAATATTCAATAATAGGGATTTAATATTTTTATTTAAATATTTTCATAAATTAAATTAAATAGGTATAAGGAATCAATTCATTTTATTTTTCTTTTGACTTACCTACTTACTGACTTTTTGACTTTATGACTATTAGATCGAAGACATATCTTATTTTTATTTTACACTATTTATTTATTAATTAATGCAATTTTAACTACATATATATTTAATAATAAAAATAGATTTTTATGAGAAGTTAATAAATTAATAATTAACGTTTTTAGTTATTAAATATAAGTAATTTATCCGAGTATAACTCACGTAATAGTACGTCGATACTGAAATTGAATTTGTGTAGAAATTTGTTCCCAACTTTGATTATAACTCGGTTAAATTTCGTCCTAATTTGACTTCTGTCTTAATGAAATCTTAACGTTGCTGTGGAATCAAATCTGTGGATACTTTTTATTATTTATATTAGTTTTTAAATATAATTATTACTTATTATAAGATATTTATAAGTCTGTAATTATATTAAAGTATAAAGTTATACTTATATAAAGCTTTCTGTATAATATTCTGAAATTAAATATAAATAAAGTAAAATTAAATTAAATTAAATTGCAAAAGAAAAATCCTTTCAAAAGTGAAATAGTTACGGAGTTTGCATAGAATTTTGCTCTTGTCTATTTTTTTATAATTTAAATGTTAACCAAACATTTTTTTATATTAAAATTATTGCACAAATGTATAGAAATTTAAATATATATATATATATATATATATATATATATATATTAAAAAGACCTATTGAGTGTCTGTTTTCTTAACAATTTTAAATTACTATTTCTGTCTCATTTATAGACAAAGTAGATTTTAGTAGAGTACTTTCATTGGAGTAAACCAGCAAAGATATACAAAAATATCTAAAATAATAAGAAATAAATAAAATTAATAGTTACTTTAACGAGTATTAATATAAATAAAACTAATATTTTTGTATTTACTACAAATTTTCATCTCGTCTTAATGATCACGGTTGCTGAAAAGTAACCGATACGTCGGGAGTATATAGTTTTAATAATAAAAAAGCAGTTTTATTCAATAAAATTATTAATATCTTTATAATAAGATAATCCATAAGTAATTTAAGTATTCATATTATTGTTTTTTATATCTTCAAACTAAATAGTAATAATTTAATTAGAAGCTGAAACCCAAATACTACTACAGCCGTGCACTTAGCACTTAATAATTATAAATTAGCCTTTAATTATCAGAGTTTACTCCTTTAGCTAATATAGCATGAATATTCACAAAGCTATGAAGCTACGGAAGCAGGTATATGCTTGATAGAAATATCTTTTTGATTTTGTAAAGCTTAGACGAGAAAGGCTTTGTGTAAAGCATTTAGCAAGACTTACAATGACAGTTGTAGCTATTATAGCTTGTAGGAAAAGGAAAAGGATATTTCTAGTGCAAAAACTTTCAAGATTTAAGAACCAATATTACGATTGTAGAGATAAAACTTCTCATCATTCAATGTATTCACCGTGCGTGTGCCATGTCCATTACAGTGAGAGGAGCTTCAACAGTGCCTGGGACTTGTGACCCAGGTGTAGGTTTAAGGGTCTCTAATATATATTGTATATATTTAAAGTTATTTTGTTTATACAAATCGTCTAATCATAGGACATATAATTTTGATCAGCCGCATATAGGTACAGATCCGGGGTACACCGACATAGCGGCATGGCTTTCGAAGTCTTAGTGAGTAGGGCATAGATAATTGTAATCTTTAGTTTGTATCAAATTATTGTGACTAAATACCTTATTAATTATCGTACATTGAAAGTTTCAGTAAATATACCAGCGGTTTGCAGACAGAATTATACAAATTTGATAAATGCAGAATTTCTTCTATGTCAAACGATTTTGGTTTTTCTTTGTAATAGATAAATCTTAAGTTGATTAACGCGGAATAAGATCTAGTGAAATTATATGTGTTTCTTATGCAAAATAACAGAATTCTTTAAGAGAGATTGTATAGACACTCACATCTCGTCTGCCCGTGATCACGGTTGCTGTAAAGTAACCGAAACGTCGGGAGTATGTATGTAGTTTTTTACCAAAAATAAAAATCGCCTAGTACATCCGAAAAATATTAGTTTCATTTAAGCTTATACTTGTTACCTAATGGTTTTTATTAGAATGTATATAAGCTGTAATATAATATATAGGTAACTGAATTCTATTTATCTTCCAGTAATATAAAGCGAAGCCTGGATATATAATTAGTTTATAGAATTATATATGTAAGATGTCGTGCTTAGTGTTATAGCTGATAGAACTAGGAGTAATATTTTTTAGATGGCCAAAGCACATAGTAACTTAAATCCTCTGTATTGAAGAATGAAGAATTGTTAGAAAAGCCTGTTTTAAAGAAAAGAATACGATCTATATAGGGAATATCTTACAATTTATAAGAGAATGACTGTTTGTAAATTTATTTGCATAAAAACGGCTTGGAGTGCTCAAAAGATGAAACTAGTATTTAATAGTAGAGATTAGCTAAACAGAAAAGGTTTTGATAATTTAAATGATTCAACAATATAACAAAACATATTGAAAAATAAAAACGTCATTTCCATAATTATGTTAAATATAAATTAAACTAATATTTTCGGATTACTACGCGTATTTAAAAACTACATACTCCCGACGCGACGTTTCGGTTACTTTTGCAGCAATGAAAATAGTTTCATTTAAATGAATACTCGTGCAAGTCTAAGATAATTATTACGTTCCATATTCAAATCATTTTTATTCTTTTATTTTTGATAACATTCTTTTATGCCAGTATCAAAAAATTAAGAAAAATTCAAGTATGTAATGCCTAGGATTCTTGATTTAATGCTGATAGAAAATTCATCAGAGACTTGTATATGCTTGTATCATGAATTTATAATTTTTTTTATAAATTGAATAATATATCTAAATTAAATTAATATTTTTTTAACGGTTGCTGAAAAGAAACCTAAACGTCGGAAGTATGTAGTAATAATAATAAACTACGCGTAGCAATCCACAAAACATTACGTTTAATTATATTAATATATTTCAAAGAAAATAATAATGTTTATTTAGTATAAACATACCTATATCATAATTATAATAGAAAAGTCCGTTGCAAGTAGATAGATCTCTATTCAATTAGTCGACAATTGCGACGCGACGTTGCGTCCTCATTATAATTGGCTGTAATTGTTTCGAGTTGGATACGTTAGTACGTTTAATACACACACACACACACACACACACACACACACACACACACGTATATATGTATATTAAATACATTAGTTATGGATATAGCATTAATAATAATGGCAACACCGGTATAAAACTGTCATAGGAATTAAGTATAAAATAACCTTTATACTCTATATCCTTTATTTACGTCGCTGTTGTAGTATGAAAGAATTTTACTAATTAAATTTACTTATATATCTTATAATATATCTATAGATGCGGGTCTATAGCAAATATAATATTCATGATATAGATGTTTTAATAATTTCGCCACCAGAAAAACACAGTATTGCTAGATCTAAAATCTATAAAATAATCA